TCAGCAACAAACTTAGCAGGGTTGTCACCAGATCCAGGGATTATCTAGCTTTTGCAGTGGAGGAACTGGTGACTGTTGGAACAGTTCAGCCTGCTCATTGCATTTCCTCCTTTGCAGTTCCTTAATCGCCTACTCTGCAGGATCGAAATGGAGGTGATTCTCATCACATGCAACTGGCTCATGAGGACATGGTACACAAACCTCACCAGATTTTGGCAGACTATCCATAGGCCCTCTCATATTGTCAGGATCTGATGTCCCAAAGGTCAGTTTGTCACCCTGCTTCTTGGTTGTTGACTTTAATGGTTGTCCATTGAAGCCCAGGTCCTGAGGGACGGGGGCCTGCTGGATTTAGTCATCGCTGTGCTCTGGAAAGCTGGTGTATAGGCTTCTAGCAAAGTCTACCATTGCACACGGAACGCATATTTTTCTTGGTAAAAGACAAGAAAATTCCATCTCAGGAAGAAAAATCCAGTCTTTTCTGGTCTGGATCATCAAGGGTCAACTTCCTTAGCAGTTTTTTTTCAGAGCTTTCCAATCTTTAAGTGAAGGCCTTTGCAAAGGGTATTGCTCACATTTTTCTTTCTGTATGTTCCCAAGTGACTTTGTGGGATCTCAACTTGTTTATGTCAGCTGTTCAAAGACTGCTCTTTGAATCTCTTAGGCATATTCCTCTGTCCATCCTTACTGTACTTGCAAGATTATCTTTCTTGTTGCCATCACTTCTGCAAGTTTCTGAGTTGGCAGCCTTACGTACACAAGGACAAAGTTATGTTGAGACTCATTGTTTCTTTTTAATTCCAAGATGGTTTGTTCCTTTCATCTTATCCAGGACATTGTTCTACCATTCCTCTATCCTAGTTGGATATATCCTTAGATTTCCCTCCATTACTGCATGTGGTATGTGGTGTTCGAGTTTATCTCTCAGCTACAGCTTACTTTTGGCAGCCTGACTTTTTGTTCGTTATTAATAAGGTCCCATGTTCCATATGAAATCAATATTGAGAAATGAGAAAATAGAATTTTTGGCTTACTGTAAAATCCTTTTCATGGTGTAAATTATGGGGCACAGATCCCCTCTCTGTTCTTATGATCTACTGCTACTATTGCTTGCTAACAAAACTAAGGCAGGCGTGAACTGGGGAGTGGTGGGTTATACTGAGCTTTCCTTACATTGTTTTTCCAGTGTTCATTCTCCTGAAGGCACCAGTATATCCCATGTTACTCGTCTTGTGTTCTATAATGTACTACCTGAAAAGGATTTTGACGTCCATTGAGGAACATGGCCCTCTGTGTTTTTGGCCTAGTGTACTGCTTGTTCGCTAAACTGTGGTGCATGATGGTTTGAGGTAGGTAGGTGGGGGCTGGCTTAACTTTTTTTATTTTTGTCATTGTCCAAACAGCATCATAATCCAATGTCAAGGAATTACTACTATCCTATATCTCTCAATGTACTTCAAGAAAAAGATTTTACTGTACAAAAACCCTATTTTTTTTTTTTTTTAGGCTTATGCATAACATACAGTATTTACTGGATTTGGGAGCTGTTTAGACTGCCATACAGTATCATCTAGTTTTAATTTAATTTACAGACATACACTGCATTTTCCTTTCACTGAAAAAACAAACCGCATGCATCCATATTGTAAGAGTTTACAAAGACTGCAATGCAATCATGTACTATTAAAGAAATAATCCTTCAATAAACTCTGTCATCATCAATGTGCCTGGTAGTGATATAGGTCCAAGTCCAGGGAGACAAAGTAATAAAATCATCTCGGTGGTTAGAATCACAGTTGTCGGTGAATTATCAGTTTTATTGGAAGCTGGGCTAAGCAACTCCTTTGTAAATATTTTGTCAGTGAATATTTAGATAAAGATTACATATGTTCAGGCTAGGGACAAAAATATTATATTTGCATGTTGACATTATATATTTATGTAAATTGTAATGCATCTTGAGAATATTTAAATCTTTACAGAGCTGCCAGCAGGGGCTTGGGCACAATTTTAGACTGCAACATCTTTTTTAGCTATACTCCTACATATGTCACTGACACAAATTGTACCTCTTCCTCCAGCTCTGAAAGACTACTAGGGGTAAATTGAACCTGTCATTATGACACTAACTAGAGCAGCCTTCCTTTACCTTTTCAACACAGAGAAACCCTTAAAATAACCTTCCGGTCTCAGGAAACCCCTGCTGAAAATTATTATATCTACAACCCATGATACATTGGTGTGATGGTCAGTGGGAAGAATGCACCTTACACTTGTGTTCATTGGTAAGAAATACCCCCTTACAGATAGCTAAAAAGATCATTGTTGTCAGTTGTCAGTGGGATCTTATCTGAGAGGCAGAAAATGTTCATTGCTCAAGGAACCCTTAGCAAGCTCTGGATAAACTCTAAGAGGAACTCCATGGAACCCTGGTTGAGAAACCGTGGACTGGAGTATCCCTAGAGCAACTGCATCTACCTGGATCCTGGTTTCTATGCTGCTTGATTCTAGTAATAAACAAAAATACCAAGTTGTCCAATCTACAAATTACCTTCACTACTAGATGTGCCAGCTGTGTGTGCTGTATAAACTGTATATTGCTACATGTTGTAAATAGCACTGTGTTCTGGCAACGGGATGGGAATTTCCTATCCTGCTACTGGAACAAAACTGAGATGGGCTGAGTGCTGCTCAGCCATTCAGAGGGAGCTTTGTATTCTATGAATGAATACAAAGCTTCCTCTGAATGGCTGAGCAGGAACCTGTGACATCATTCTTCCGACTCTCCACCTCAATCAATCAGAGGAAGCTGTATGTAGCTTCAGCTACATACAGTTTATATACAGTGCCCTCCATAGGAAGCTGCTCCCTATGGTGGTCACTCATGCAGGCTCACTCCCAAGCCAAACTGCTTGTGTCTATTCAGACACTAAACCTGGCTCGGTCCCATTCCATGCTCTCTGCTCACTGGTTTTGACTGACAGCAGCAGGAGCCAATATCTGTGAAAGCTGGGGGAGGAGTGAAGAGCTGCTGCAGACGTGCGCAGCATTGGACCGAGACCAGGCTCAGGTGATTATTTAGGGGGCTGTGGGGGGGAGCAGCTCTTAAAAGGTCATTGTGAGACAAAAAAAATCACCTGGTGTTGGTGGTTAACAGAGGGAATTAAATACTTTGGTTAGTGTCTTTGCCCCTCTTACATTGGAGGGTCAGTGTCTGTGCCCCCTTAAATATGGTAGCCAGTGTCTGTGCCACCATACATTGGTGGTCAGAGTCTTTGCCTCCTTACATTACTGGTCAGTGTCTGTACCCTCATACATTGCTGGTTAGAGTCCCCTTACATTGGTGAGCAGTATTAGACCAATGCAGAATAAAAAATGTGTTTAGCTTTACTTATGATAGTTTCGTTAAGTTAACAATGTAATTTCATCCTTCATTAAAATCGGCTGAATAGCTTTCATACTATGTGTTGTTTCGTTTATACGTTTTCTAAAGGATTTGAATTTTGTGAAGTATTCAAAATCAAATCGGAAATATTGATTCAGTTTGAATTTGAATAAAAAATCCAAAGTGTAGTTAGGTACTTTTTGTTCATATATTGTTCACATATTTGTGATTTTTAAGTTTTCACAACATGATAGTCTGCATTATGGGCCCAAAAGTATATGTTACATGAAATTATAGGTACCGTAAGTTATCATTATCACATATACAAATTGTGGAACTACAAGAGTATCAACATGTACTGGACCCCAAACACCTTGATGTTATTCATGAAATACCAATAAATTCTTATAATGGAAATTATGGTGGAAACTTTATGTGATGTAAAAAAATGTATTTACTAGTAAAATGAAACTCGTGATCAAAGACACTATCTTTTTGTATACCTTAAGACATAAATGCATAACAAATAAGTTGAGTATAGTCAAGTCCACTTGAAGACCAAGCATTTTCTGGAATGTTTTGTTTACAAGTTTAAATCCATATTTTTTGCTAGAAAATTACTTTTAACCCCCAAACTTTATTTATTTATTTTTTTTAGCAAAGGCCTTATATAGAATAAAATGGTGATCGTTGCAATTGGTTATGTCACATGGAATTTGCGCAGTGGTTTTTCAAACAAAACATTTGGGGAAAAAATACACTTTAGTGAATTTAAAAAAACAAAGCACAATTTATCTCAAATTTTGTGAAATATGAAAGAGGATGTTACGGCAAATAAATAGATACCTAATATGTTAAAAGAGAAGTTGCAGCGCTAAACACAAAAATGTTGAATAATCTCAATACATAAATACCATCAAGTGTGAAAAAATAAAATTCACATAAAACTAAAAATAATATACATAAGTCCAATGGTGTTCAAATCAATGATTGTGGGCTGTGATAAACTGAATAGTATAGAGCCAATGTCCACTATCTAATAAATCTTCACCCAGTGATCCAGGAACAACAGACATGTCACCTCCACCAATGGCTGAAATTAAAACTCACCAGAAGATGTTGCTGTTTAGAAGAACAGCAATAACGTTTGAATGATAATAAATTCCCAAGGTACGATCTTTCAGTGTACCAGGAAACTCGATAGTCCTCCTCTATCCCGCTCCACCAGATGTCAGTACATGCACTTTCATCCTATAACGGGCAGTCAGACACTTGGAATGGCGGCACGACCGCCATCAATAATGCCTAACAACTAATGCCGCTTCGTGTGACAGCACATCCTCAGGGGTTCTTAAACGAACAAATAACAGCTGCCATCAATATACAGCCCATCTATACAGACCGTAAGACGTCACTTACTGTCTCAGCGCCATTTTCCTGTAGTTTAACCACCTCCCGCCCGCCATATAGTAATATGATGGACACAAGGTGGTTCTCTCGTTCTGGGAGGATGTCATATGACGTCCTCCCATTCTCACTGCGCATGAGCGGCTCCCTCGGACACAGCGGATCACCGATCCATGGAAAGAGCCGAAGATGTTGGCTTGGTCATGTGATCAGCTGTGTCCAATCACAGCTGATCACATGTAAACAGGGAAATGCCGGTTATCGGCATTTCTCTCCTCTCGAGCTGTCACGACAGCTCGTGAAGAGAGGAGAGCCGGTAATCGGCTTTCCGTGGAGGGGACAGTACCTGGGCACTGATGATCAGTGTGGCCCCAGCAGTGCCACCTGTCAGTGCCTTGTGTCAGTGCTCATCAGTGCCTCATGCCAGTGCCCATTAGTGCCACATATCAGTGCCTACCAGTGCACATCAATGCCACATATCAGTGCCCATCTGAGCTGCCTTTCAGAGTCACCCATCAGTGCCAGTCAGTGCCACCTATCAATGCCAATCAGTGCCACCTATCAGTGCTGCCAATCAGTGCCGCCTATCAGTGTGCATCTGTGCCGCCTAACAGTGCCAGTCAGTGTCGCCTATCAGTGCCAGTCAATGCTGCCTATCAGTGCCGCCTATCAGTGCTGCCTTTCAGTGCCTCTCAGTGATGCTTGACAATGCCCATCAGTGCCACCTACCAGTGCCTCCTCATCAGTGCCCATCACTGCCACCTATCAGTGTCCATCAGTGCAACCTATCAGTGCCCATCAGTGCAGCCTCATTAGAGCACATCAGTGAAGGAGAAAAATCACTTATTTACAAAATTTTATAACAAAAACTAAGAAAAAACATTTTTTTTTCAAAATTTTCAGTGGTTTTTGGTTTGTTTAAGATTAAACACTACCAAAAGAAAGCTCTATCTGTCACAAAAAAATGATAAAAATTTCATATGGGTACAATGTTGTATGACCGCGCAATTTTCATTCAAAGTGTGAGAGTGCTGAAAGCTGGAAATTGGCCTGGGCAGGAAGGGGGTATAAGTGCCCTGTAGGCTAGTGGTTAAAGGAAGTGTAATTATCGAGTTTCCTGTAACACTGAAGGATCGTACCATGGGAATTCATTATCATATAAACGCTATTGCTGTTTTTCTAAACAGCAACATCTTCTGGGGAGTTTTCATTCTAGCCATTGGTGGAGGTGACATGTCTGATGTTCCTGGATCACAGGGTGAAGATTTATTATATAGTGGACATTGGGACTATTCTATTCAGTTTATCACAGCCCACAATCATTGATTTGAACACCATTGGACTTATGTTTATATTTTTTTGTTTTATGTGAATTTTATTTTTTCGCACTTATTGACATTATTCAACATTTTTGTGTTTAGCACTGCAACTTCTCTTTTAGCTCTTTAGGATCTTGGTATATCGGTATCTATTGCATGCAGCTACACATAATATTTTTCAGTTTCTGATTTTTTGGATTAGTGCTGACCGTATTTAGTTTTTTTAGATACCTAATATGTAATGCTTTTAAATTGCGCACGCTTGTGGAATGGTGACAAACTACAGTACTATTGCCACAGGCAACATTTTGGAAATGTTTACAGTTTACCTGTTACAGAGGAGGTCTAGCACTAGAATTATTGCTCTCGCTCTAACGTTTGCGGCAATACCTCACATATGTACCGCGAACACTGTTTACATATGCGTGCATGATTTACATATGCGTTTGCTTCTGCTCGCAGGCGCAGAGGGATGGGGGCGCTTTAAAAAATGTTTTATCTTATTTACTTTGTTTTGTTATTTTTATTTTTACATTGCCCCTTTAAGTATTTATTTTAAAAAATTCCTATTACAATAAATTGAAACATCCCTTGTAATAGAAATATGCATGGCAGGTCCACTTTAAGGAGAGATCTGAGGTAAAAAAGCCCCCAGATCTCTCCTTTACTTTTAAAAGATTAAAAAACAAAAAAAATTTAACTTTTTCTTTAAAAAAGAAAACAAAATTGTTTACATCCGCCACTGACCAGAAGTGATGTCATGGCATCGCTCCAATCCTCCATCATAAAAGAGGTGATTAGATCAGAGACTCTCATCACCTCCATCTTCAGTTGGCCGCATCGTCGGATCGTTTCTCGGGAGTACCAGTTTTAACGGTAAGCTCGAGAAACATCGACAAGTGGCAGGAGGGGGGGACATTCCCTCCTGCTGCTACGGAAAGCGATCCAGGGGCTGAAGAAAGCAGGCCAGCAGCTGAAAAACAAATACTGGGGTTATGGCTGATTTCTTCACCACTACTTGACAAACCGCAACGTTTATATATACACTATATTGTCAAAAGTATTGAGACACCCCTCCAAATCATTGGATTAAAGTGTTCCTTGGCCACACCACCTCCTTGGCCACAGGTGTGTAAAATCAAGCACCTAGGCATGCAGACTGCTTCTACAAACATTTGTGAAAGAATGGGTCGCTCTCAGGAAGTCAGTGAATTCAAGCGTGGTATCGTGATAGGTTGCCACCTGTGCAATAAGTCCATCCGTGACATTGCCTTCCTACTAAATATTCCACGGTCAACTGTTAGTGGTATTATAACAAAGTGGAAGCAACTGGGAATAACAGCACAAAGTGGTAGGCAATGTAAAATGACAGAGCAGGGTCAGCACATGCTAAAGTGCACAGTGCTCAGATGTCGCCAACTGTCTGCAGAGTCAATAGCTAAAAGACCTCCAAACTTCATGTGGCCTTCAGTTTAGCACAACAACAGTGCATAGAGAGCTTCATGGAATGCAGCTGCATCCAAACCTTACATCACCAAGTGCAATGCAAAGAGTTGGATGCAGTGGTGTAAAGCACGCTGCCACTGGACTCTAGAGTAGTGGAAACATGAGTGATGAATCATGCTTCTCTGTCTGGCAATCCGATGGATGTGTCTGGGTTTGGCAATTGCCAGGAGAACGGTACTTGTCTATTTGGTGGAGGGGTATTATGGTGTGGGGTTATTTTTCAGGGTTGGGCTGGCCCCTTCCTATTTCAACATGGCATGGAGGAGCAAGTTTGGGGTGGAGGAACTTTACTGACCTGCACAGAGTCCTGACCTCAACCCGATAGATAGAACACCTTTGGGATGAATTAGAGCTGAGACTGCAAGCCAGGCCTTCTCATCTGGCATCAGTGCCTGACCTCATAAATGTGCTTCTGGAAGAATGGTCAAACATTCCCATAGACACACTCCTAAACCTTGTGGACAGCCTTCCTAGAAGAGTTGAAACTGTTATACAGTTGCAAGAAAAAGTATGTGAACCCTTGGGATTACGTGGAGTTTTGCATGAATTGGGCATAAAATGTGCTCTGAACGTCATCTAAGTCACAACAATAGAAGAACACAGTCTGCTGAACATAATACTACACAAACATTAGATGTTGCCATGGTTTAATTGCACATAACATGTAAACATTCACAGTGCAGGGAGGAAAAAGCATGTGAACCTTTGGACTTAATAACTGGTTGACCCTCCTTTGGCAGCAATAACCTCAACCAAACATTTCCTGTAGTTGCAGATCAGACCTGCACAACGATCTGGAGTCATTTTGGACCACTCCTCTTCACAAAACTGTTTCAGTGTAGCAATATTCTTGGGATGTCTGGTGTGAATCGCTCTCTTAAGGTCATGCCACAGCATTTCAATCGGGTTGAGGTCAGGACTCTGACTGAGCCACTCCAGAAGGCGTATTCTGTCCTGTTGCAGCCATTGTTTTGTTGAATTACTTGTATGCTTTGGGTCATTGCCCTGTTGCATCACCCATCTTCTGCAGAGCTTCAGTTGGCGGACAGATGGTCGCACGTTTTCCTGCAAAATGTCTTGATAAACTCTGGAATTCATTTTCCCATCAATGACAACAATCCGTCCAGGCCTTGAGGCAGCAAAGCAGCCCCAAACCATGATGCTCCCTCCGCCATGTTTTACAGTGGGGATGAGGTTTTGATGTTAGTGTGCTGTGCCTTTTTTTCTTTTTTTTTCTCCACACACAGTGTTGTGTGTTCTTTCCAAACAACTCAATCTTGGTTTCATCTGTCCACAGTATATTTTGCCAATAGTGCTGTGGAACATCCAGGTGCTCTTTTGCAAACTTCAAACATGCTGCAATATTATTTTTGGACAGCAATGGCTTCCTCTGTGGTTTCCTCCCATGTACTCCATTCTTGTTTAATGTTTTCCTTATTGTAGATGTGTCAACAAAAATGTTAGCATGTGCCGGAGATTTCTGTAGGACTTTAGCTGACACTCTGGGATTCTTCTTTACCTCATGCAGCATTCTGTGCTGTGCTCTTGCAGTCATTTTTACAGGACGACCATGCCTAGGGAGAGTAGCAACAGTGCTAAACTTTCTCCATTTGTAGACAGTCTGTCTTACCAAGGACACATGAACATCAAGGCTTTTGGAGATACTTTTGTAACCCTTTCCAGCTTCATGCAAGTCAACAATTCTTGATCGTAGGTCTTCTGAGAGCTCTTTTCTGCGAGGCATGGTTCACATCAGACAGTGCTTCTTGAAACCAGTAAACCCAAAACAGGTGTGTGTTTTTTAAGGGCAGGACAGCTGTCAGCAACACATCCAATATCATCACTCTGATTGGAGTCAAGGTTGGCTCACTCCTGGCTCCGATTAGCTCTGGGAGAAGTCATTAAGGTAGGGCCTCACATACTTTTTCCTCCCTGCACTGTGAATGTTTACATGTTATGTGCAATTAAACCATGGCAACATCTAATGTTTGTGTAATATTATGTTTAGCAGACTGTGTTCTTCTATTGTTGTGACTTAGATGACGTTCAGAGCACATTTTATGCCCAATTCATGCAAAACTCCACGTAATCCCAAGGGATTCACATACTTTTTCTTGCAACTGTATATGCGAAGACGTGATCAATGAGCTCCTATGAGGAAAAGGTAAATAAAAAATTGGTGATGTATCAAGTCCCCATAGTCGTTAGGCCCATTAAGGGAATCTCATGTTATCTAGAATATAGTGACATCACATCTGTATCGCACTAAAGTCGAGTGCTTGGATCACATCTATGGGCCTTTATGATAAAATATCTTACATACAGTAGTTAGGAGCGAGCTTCTACATTGCCGTCCAGCAATCTCTCATTGGGTGGCAGAAGGTAACCCACTAAACCACAGGGGTACAATAGGGGATATCAAATTGCGTATCAGAAGTGCATAACATGACCCCATGGGAAGGCTGCTTCACTTGGCAAAACTGAATAGTGATATATGACCTGACTAGCACCATAACGGTATCGTATGTATCCAGAAAGCGAGCTGCTACAGTGCACTTAGTGATAACGTAGTAGGTGGGGAAAAGTAGCCAGCCAGACCATAGGGGTGTAAAAGGGGGTGGTATCAGATTGCACAACAATATGACAGTGTATCATGACCCTAGGGGAAAACTATTACACCAGGCATAAGTAAGTGTTGGAACACGCCCTGTCTAGCTTCATTATTGCAAGTAACACACCTAGGGCAAACAGGGTATACATGTTA